TGGAGTGGGATTTACTACAGTATCCATCCCACAAAGGATTGAATGATACCATCAAGGCACTCAACCATCTTTATAAATCTGAAAAAGCATTGTACCATTTCAACTTCAGTCCTGAAGGATTTGAATGGATCGATGCCGGTGACAGAGCGAATTCCATACTGATATATCAAAGAAAATCGGATATAAAAAACGATGTACTAATGATAGTGTGCAATTTGAATATCTCTACGCACAATGCCTACAAGGTCGGACTTTATGCCAAACAGACCTGGCAAGTGATATTTAATTCTGATGATAAGAGTTTTTGGGGTAGCGGATATGAAGTGAAAAGCAAGGTTTTAACCAGGAAAATAGAATGGAACGGCAGAAAACATACACTGGAAATAGATATTCCACCATTGTCAGTAACAGTCTACCGGCTGTTATCATCAGTGGAAGACAAGCCCAAAGCAACAAAAACCAAAGTAGCGATCACAAAAAAAGTGGAAACCAAAGTGAAAGGTAAAAAGCGATAACAATTTTGACCCCCATTTACAAATCATTGATAGTAATACAAAAGTTGTAATTCATAGAATTGGTATTATTCATTACCTTTGAGCCAAATAAGTTATCACATAAATGAAATTTGCCACCAAAGTAATCCATGCAGGAATTGAGCCTGACCCTTCTACAGGAGCGATCATGACACCTATCTATCAGACATCAACCTATGTTCAAGCAGCACCTGGTGATCACAAAGGATATGAATACGCCCGTACTCAAAACCCAACTAGGTCAGTACTGGAAAAAAATCTTGCTGCACTCGAAAATGCTACAGATGCCATTTGTTTCGGAAGTGGACTCGCAGCGATGGATAGCGTATTGAAGCTGCTCAATCCAGGTGATGAGGTGATAGCCTGTGATGATTTGTATGGAGGATCGTACAGGATCATGACAAAAGTTTTTGGCAAGTATGGGATCAAATTTTATTTTGTCGGCATGAGCGGTGTAAATGGCCTGAATGCTCTGATGACTCCAAATACCAAAATGATCTGGGTAGAAACACCCACCAATCCTATGCTCAACATTATAGACATCAAAGCAGTTTGTGATCATGTAAAAGGTAAAGGTATCATGGTCTGCGTAGATAATACATTTGCATCACCTTATCTGCAGAATCCATTAGATTTGGGGGCTGACATTGTAGTACATTCGGCCACAAAATATATTGGCGGACACTCAGACGTCATACATGGCGTAGTGATCACCAATGATGCTGACATAGCAAGACAAATCAGGTTTTTGCAGAATGCAGCAGGCGCAGTACCAGGCCCACAGGATTGTTTTTTGATTCTCAGAGGTATCAAGACCTTGCATATCAGAGTAGAAAGAGCGTGTCAAAATGCAGAAAAAATTGCCCGTTATCTCAAAAATCATCCAAAAGTATCCAAAGTTTATTTCCCGGGCTTTCCGGACCATCCAGGTCATGAGGTGGCCAAAAAGCAAATGAAAATGTTTGGCGGCATGGTATCCTTTGATCTAATGGCCAACAATGAAGAGAGTGCACGAAAAGTTCTATCAGGTACATATTATTTTTCATTGGCTGAGTCATTGGGTGGTGTTGAGTCACTGATAGGTCATCCTGCAAGTATGACACATGGCTCCATCCCAAGAGAAGAAAGGCTCAAAGTAGGATTGACAGATTCTTTGATACGACTGAGCGTAGGCATAGAAGATGTGGATGATTTGATTCAGGATTTGGATCAGGCGTTGGCCTTGATTTAAGAAAACAATTAAATATATAATTTCACCTTCATCCGATTTTAATAAATTTTTATAATTTACTAAAGATAGTTTGTTGATTTTCAGACATATTCTCTTTTATTTTCTGTTTTGATAGCGACCTTCAGCCTCTTTCAACTATTTAAAGTCGAAAAAGTGAAGACTATAAAATTGCCCTGTGTGTACAACAAACTGCACAAATACATAAATTCCCTCGCTACCCCTGCCTGACTACGTAGGCAGGCAGGCTCATTCCCTAAAGAGCTTGTCAAGCTATGCTTGAGACGACCCACGCCAATGCTTTCAATATTAGACTCTGTTAAAAAATAACTGATACATTTTGTCTCGTTCTTTTGCTCTTTTTCTGCGTTGTAAAATCGTTAAATAGCTAAGGCTATTCGCCTCATTTACGCCTTGAAAAAGAACAAATTAACTTCGCCAATTCTGCACCATTTATTTATTAACAGAGCCTTAACTTTTTCTCAGGACAGAGCACTAGGTGGCCAATTATAATTCCAAATATTTGAATCAATTTTACTTTAAGTAAAAAAGATAAACTTACCTTTGCCGCACCATCTGAAATGAATTAATCCTCTTACATGAGCGACCAGATAAAACACGAATGCGGGCTGGCATTAATCCGACTCCTTAAACCACTTGACTATTACCATAAAAAATACGGAACAGCTCTATATGGTCTCAATAAGATGAACCTCTTGCTCCAGAAACAACGCAACAGAGGTCAGGACGGAGCAGGATTAGTCACCATCAAGCTGGACTCTACGCCGGGGACAAGATACATCAGTCGTCGTCGGAGCAACAGTCCTCAGTACCTCAAGGATTTATTTGAAGGAGTTTTTTCGCATTTTACGGACATCACCAAAGAACAGCTCAATGACCCGCAGTGGCTTAAGGAGAATAAACCTTATACCGGTGAATTGTTGTTAGGTCACTTAAGATATGGAACACATGGGGCAAATACTATTGAAACCGTACACCCGTTTTTAAGACAGAACAACTGGATTTCAAGAAATCTTGTGTTGGCCGGAAATTTTAATCTGACCAATGTGGATGAGATGTTTGCTGAACTATTGTCCTTTGGGCAGTATCCTAAGGAAAAATCAGATACAGTGACGGTATTGGAAAAAATAGGACACTTCCTTGATGACGAAGTACAGCGATTGTTCAATTGGTTTAAGCCGGAAGGATTTAGTAATCAGCAGATCAATGGACTTATAGCTGACCATTTGGATGTGCAGCGACTATTGCAAAGGTCTTCCAGAAAATTTGACGGAGGATATGTGATGGCAGGGCTGATAGGTCATGGTGATGCTTTTGTGTTTCGGGATCCTGCAGGGATCAGACCAGCTTTTTATTATCATGATGATGAAATAGTTGTGGTAGCATCAGAACGACCCGCAATACAAACAAGCCTGAATATCAGGTATTTTCAGGTACATGAATTAAAGCCCGGTCATGCGCTTATCATCAAAAAGAATGGAGTAGTTACTGAGGAGCTTTGTAAAGAACCAACTCAACCCAGTCCTTGTAGCTTTGAGAGAATTTATTTTAGTCGTGGTACAGACCGGGATATCTACTTAGAACGCAAAAAACTCGGTGAGCTGCTTGCTGACAAGATATTGAAGGCTGTACATTATGATTTGGAAAATACTGTATTTTCATTTATTCCCAATACCGCAGAAGTGGCATATTTTGGGATGATCAAAGGCCTGGAACAAAAGCTGAATGAAATAAAACAGAATAAGATCCAACAACATTTACTCGATGGGACGCTCACAGAAACCACTCTGAACAAGATTCTAAATATAGCTGTAAGATCAGAAAAACTCGCTGTGAAGGATGAAAAACTCAGAACATTTATAGCTGATGATGCATCCAGAGGACAGATGGTGTCACATGTGTATGACGTGACCTATGGTATCGTCGAAAATGAAGTAGACACCATAGTACTGATAGATGACAGCATAGTGAGGGGGACTACATTAAAGGAAAGTATTGTATATATCTTATCTACGTTAAAGCCCAAAAAGATCATCATAGTCTCATCTGCCCCACAGATAAGGTATCCCGATTGTTACGGAATAGATATGAGCAAATTGAAGGAATTTGTAGCTTTCAGAGCATTGGTCGAATTGCTTAACCAGGACGGAAAGAATCATATGATGCAGGAAGTGTATGACAATTGTCTTGAACAGGAAAAGCTGCCGATGGAACAAATGACAAATCAGGTAAAGCTGCTGTATGACCAATACACTGACGACCAGATTTCTGCAAAAATATCTGAGCTTGTAACTCCTGAAGATATCATACCAGATGTACAAGTGATCTATCAGAGCATTGACGACCTTCATATTGCATGTCCGAATCATAAGGGGGACTGGTATTTCTCAGGCAATTACCCTACGCCTGGAGGTGTGCGAGTTGTCAATAGGGCTTTCATGAATTACATGAAAAATAGCGACGACAGAGCATATTAAAAATAGTTGTGTTCCTTAAAGATAAATTATTTTCTTAAACATACTATTATATACAGTAACAATAGTTTCTTAAATTAATTCAATTTTATGTCACTACTTGATAGAGTCTATGACCCGGAATCTTTTAGAAAATCAGGTCATTTCTTAGTGGATTTGCTGGCAGATAATCTTGCTGCAAATCTTTCAGGAATTCCGGAAAAAGTCATTGATTATATTCAACCGGACAAAAATTATGAAAACTGGAAGAATAAAAAATTTGGCGACCCGGAGCAATATTTTAAAGAACTCATCAGCAACTCTATCCGGATACAACATCCAAGATATATCGGTCATCAGGTCAGTGCTCCGGCACCTCTCGCGGCCCTTGCAGGCTTTGAAGGTTTGATGCTCAATAGTGGCGGAGCTATTTATGAGATGTCAGCAGCATCATCAACGCTCGAAAGATTAGTCATTGATACTTTCAAAAGTTATTTTGGCTTTGATACAGGCGATGGCATCATCACTTCCGGAGGCACGTTAGCCAATCTGACGGCCCTGATTTGTGCCCGCAATGTAAAGGCTACGGAAGAAATATGGCAAGAAGGTCAAAACGAAAAATATGCTTTTATGGTGTCGGAAGAAGCACATTATTGTATAGACAGGGCAGTAAGAGTGATGGGTTGGGGTGATGCAGGCATCATTAAGGTACCAGTGGACGATCATTATAAAATGAAGACGGAATTTCTGGAACCACTCTATCAAAAGGCTACATCAGAAGGCATCATTGTCCTGGGTGTTGTGGGCAGCGCACCTACCACTTCTACAGGTATATACGACGATCTTACATCAATCGGACACTTTTGTCAAAAGCATGATTTATGGTATCACATTGATGCTGCTCATGGAGGACCAGCGGTATTTTCTGAGAAATACAAACATCTGATGCGTGGATGCGAACTGGCGCATAGCATCACTGTGGATGCACACAAGATGATGATGACTCCGTCACTCACTACGATGTTGTTTTTCAGAAAACCAGAAGACAGTTACAAGACTTTTGCTCAAAAAGCCCAATATCTCTGGAGTGACAGTACTGAAGAATGGTATAACTACGGCAAGCGTACTATGGAGTGCACTAAAATCATGCTGAGCTCGAGGATATATGCCTTGATTGCCAATTATGGTTTGGAAGTGTTTGGGGAGTATATTGACAAATGTTATGATCTTGCTCAAATATTTGCTGAGTTGATTTCAAACACGGATAATATGGAGATAGCTGTCCATCCGGAATCCAATATAGTTTGTTTTCGTCTGACATCATCAGATCCGGATAAAGACAATGAAACCAATAAAAGAATCAGGCAAGCATTGCTGGAAGACGGTTCTTACTATATTGTCCAAACTATGCTCAACAATAAAGTATATCTGCGCGTCAGTATCATGAACCCATTTACTTCACAACAGGATTTGCAAGGATTACTCGATCTGATCATTTTGAAATCGTCTATGTTTAATTGATCAGAACAAGTTAAGGTCACATAAAGTGTACTTTATTGTGTTACCACCAATTTTCCAGTTTTGATATTGCTTCCCTGAGTGAGGCTGAAGAAAAACAGACCACTCTTTAAAGCACTTACATCTGTATCAGTATCATCAGTCACTACTATTTGGTGCACTTGCCGACCTTCTATATTGTAAATTTTAAGGAGAGCCTTCCCTTCCAATCCTTTAAACCGAAGGATACCTGTAGTTGGATTTGGGTGAATCGTTATATTGGTATGACTTAGGTCATTAATATTGACAATACCTGTATTCTTTATAAAATAGTCCTGATTAATTGCCACAAATCCATTGTCGATTGGTCCGGGGCTCGTAGTACCTTTTTTACTTCCCGATGCATCTCTAAATACCGCAGATATCCAATATGGAAAATCTCCGGATGCCATATTGAAATAGTTTTTTGGTTTCAGTTTTATCTGCCATTTATCAGTCTCTCCCGGGATTTTTGTCATCAATCCTACACCGTCATCTTTTCCCCAGTTACCCACTACCTTACCCCAGGCAGAAGCTTCAGGAGATGTGTTGTTTAAAGTGCTAACTCCACTATGCATATATACTTTTTGAGCGCCTACAAGCTCTCTATTGCCTTCTCTGGCATTAAATACGACAGTGATTTCATTGTCTGCACTAAATCCTGCAGGTGAGATATAGACAATGGGGAGAGATGACAAAACGTTATAATATACCAGTTTATTTTTAAAGCCAAAACCTTGGTTTGTGTTATCACCATTTCTAAACCACATGCCGATTTGAGAAATCTCCTGACCTACATTTGTTTTGAAGTATTGATTTGGTACTAACTTTATTTCCCATATATCATCGGAGACTTTGGTCATCTGACCTACACCGTCATCCTTAAGATTTCCTACCATGTTGGTCAAGGCCGATGATGTAGCATTTCCCAATAAAATGCCTGAATGTAAATAAACTTTATCGGAACCTTTAAGTCCTGATGTATTGCCCGGAAAAGCCTTTGATGCATCAAACCGAATCGTGATTTCCTGATTTGCCTTAAAAGGAAATGGAGTGACCGTGACAGGATTCTCATATACACTCACTACTCCGGGAAGTCCTTCCGACAGTCTTTTGGAAGTGAAGATATGCCATTCGCCGGCTTTTAAGTTGACAGGGGCAGAGGTATTCGTTACCGTCATGGAGTCACCTGCAAAATAGTTGTACCATTTTCCCGTTTGAGTAAATTCGGCGGAGATAGAGTTTTGTGTCATCCCAAAATTACCAATGACAACAAGGTCGGTATCATTGGTATTGAAGACCAATCTCCTGGTATCTCCTGAAAACTGATGATTTTTTGTTGCTGTAGCGAGGTTTTCTGCGCCAATGGTATGACGTATTTTTAATAGATTCTGATAAGTTGTGTAAATATTTTGTCTATCAGGATTGGAGTAATAATTCAGGCTGTTAGGACCCCAGACTTGTGGTTTCCGGCCTGTTCTGCCATTTAGATCGATGTCTATATCATATCCTAACTCATCAAATTGCCAGATCATCTTCGGTCCGGGTTGGAGATAAGTAAACGCTGCTGCCATCTTGACCCTTTCCAACATCACTAAGGTATCTTTTATGTTGTAGCCTTCTGCTGATCTGCCTTCAGTGAGACAGTGTTCTGCAATCCGTCTTTCGTCGTGGCTATTGTAAAAAGCTACGTGAGAAGTAGCATCCATATTGGAAAATGAACCGACAGTGTTACCAACTGTGGCCGGCACATAGTCATAAGACTTGTTTCTCCACATCTTCATACCATAATTACCCAAAATGTTTTCTTCACTTTGTGGAGCCCAATGTTCCAGTATGATGTATGATTTCGGATTTGTCTGCCATATTTTATCTGCCATTCTCTTTAAAATTGTAATTCTTGAAGCATCAAATCCATCTATACTTCCGCCTGGAGCATTGTTGGTAAATCCCTTTGTGAAATCAAACCTGAAGCCATCAAAATGAAATTCTTCCACCCAATACCTGTTGACTTCGTCCATAAATTCTTCAGTGTAACTGCTCTGGTGGTTGAAGTCGTAGCCCCATTGGTATTGTCCTACATATTCTCTATTGAACCAAGGATTGTTGGCAGCGGGTTTGTTGGCTGATTTGTCAAAATACATCTGAACAAGGGGACATTGACCGAAAGCATGATTGAGTACAAGATCTGTAATGACGGCTATACCATGCTGATGTGCTGTTTCAATAAATTTTTTCAGCTGTTCCTTTGGTCCATAATACTTGTCCACAGCAAAGAAAAATGATGGGTTATATCCCCAGGAATTATTGCCTTCAAATTCGTTGACCGGCATCAATTCTATGGCATTGACGCCGAGCCTTTTTAAGTAGGTGAGGGTGTCTGTAAGATCTTTAAAATTGTGGGAGCCTATAAAGTCTCTGACATGCAGCTCATAAATGACTAAGTGGTTTACATCCGGCTGTTTCCATGCTGATTCTGCATTGGCCCATTGATAGGAAGATTGGCCTGTGGTCAGCACAGAAGCTATTCCCAAGTCCACCCGGGTATAGACAGGCAAATTTGGATATACACTTTGCTCTATATCTTTATCATTCCAGGGGTCTGCAATCTGATCAGCAAACGGATCAGCTATTTTTAGATTGCCATCGATCCAGTATTGGAAAACATAAGGTTTTCCTGATGTGAGATTTTGTAATTCTATCCAGAATTTTTTTCCATCGGGAGACTTTTTCATCTGGTATTCCGGTTTTATCTGCCAGTCGGTCATATCGCCTACCAGAAAAACAAAATCCTTTTCGGGTGCAAGCAGTACCAGAATTGCTTTTGTTGGATCACCGGCTAAGTAGTTAATGCCATTTTTCATTCCAAATGGTACAGGAGCTACTGGACTGGGTTTTTTAACTATGATGGCGTGATTTTTCGTAGTTTCCAGTGTCTGCCCGTTGATATTTGCTGTAACCTTGATTTTTAGATTTAAAGTAGAGGAGGGTTTGTACTGATATTGAAGGGTCTTATTTCCATTTACGGTGGCGACATTGTTAAACCCATTGCCGTCATCGAGCCACAATTTCATTTCAGTGGCGGCTGAAGAAGCTTCTACTGAAAAATTGACAGATTCTCCTTCATTGATGATCGACTCATTTCCAGTCGGTGAAAGAATGGAGATGTAGTTGGCAACATTGAGATTGATATAAACGTCGTTATTGGAAGCGACAGTGCCCCAGCCATATTCTCCGGGTGCAATGGTTCCTTTTTTGGTGCCATCTGCAGAACGAAAAACACAGGAAACTCTGAAGATATTTTCACCAGCCGGCACTCCGAAATAAGCTCTTAGAGTAGGTGAAAAAGTGAATTGCCATTTATTGGTTTGTCCTTCTACCTTAGTCATCTCTCCGATGCCATCATCTTTGCCCCAGTTTCCTTTGACATATTTCCAGGCAGTGCCATTGACTTTGTCAGTGACTATACCATGGTGGAGATACACTTTTGATGCACCTATGAGTTCTTTATTCCCTTCATTGGCATCAAAAGTCAGAGTGACCGATTCTTCGGGACCGGCACCTTGCGGGCTTAGCGTAACTATCTGAGCGTGAAGGTAAAATACATTAAAAAAGGTGAAAAGCAGGATGATGTGGCGCATGATCAGGTTTTTACTTATTGTAAAAATGACAATAACAGTGTAAATATAAATATTGTTTTCATCATTGTGGTAAAAACCGATAAAAAAAATAGTCTTTATTTGGTATTTCCTTTATATGAAGGGATGAAGGGAACAGTTGAGCCCAAGGGGTTTAAACCCCTTGAAATATCACCAATTTTCTAAAAATTGATACCATTACATGGAAATGGTTATTCAAATTACAAAAATTGTTAAAATTGCATACTGCACCTTTTTTTTTGGTGACTCTAATCTTTAGTACCTGAAAAAGACCTGGAAAGTTTTTTGCCTAAAATAGTATCATGGCCTACAACCTTGATTTTATTCATAAATTCGTCATATGTGAGTATTACATCAATAGAGTCCGTAGAGATGAATTTATGGATTCTTTTGTTGGAAGTGGTTTCAGTATCTTTATAAGACAATCGTTGTTGGGGAAACAATTTTTTATCATCAGCTATGACAATGGTATTGAGGTCATAAAGTATTACTTTCAACTGATTGGGAAAGGAAGGAGTGCATATACTGTCCCGAGACGGACTACTGATTTCGCATGTAGCTGAACTGCCGCTGTAATGACCGACTACTTTAGTAAACTCAATTTTTACCCCTGTATTATCTTCAATGGCACACCCGATAAAAGTAAAAAAAATGACAGCCCCAAGTATGCCGGTAATATTATTATATCTCATGATTTAGTTGTAGAGCATATTTGAAATACTTCCAGTTCGGCTTTATTGCAAATATGCCCATCATTCTTTAACGTTTGACCTGATACTCTTTATTGTAAAAATATCATGCTAATTTTTTCCGCCATAAAAGATTCCGGAAGATATGATTTGACCCCCGGGGTTAAGTATGGTATAGAGGTACTTGTTATTTGCGGAATAGTGTTCAGGATCTACGGTAGTCAAATACACCAGAAACTCATCCGTGTCCGTGCTTTGGTCTGAAATGAACCTGCCTTGAATATCATATAAGTAAAGGCGATATTTTCCCGGACTTGTATTGATGAATTTAATTTTTCCATCTGAATTCATCGGATTTGGAAAAACGATGGATTTATTTTTTTCAAAATCAAAATATTCGGCTTCTAAAGGCGGG